TTAAGTAAAGCAGGCAATCGGGTACTCAATATTTTTATTTATTTAAAGCTACATTAGTGATCCACATGTTTATTATACTTAACATGTTTCTACATTTTAATAACTTTATATTGCAGACCTGTGCTTTCCAGGCATGCACTAAATGTATCTTAAACTTCTCAGTGTCAGGCAGCTACTTCAAACCTGCAGCTGGGATCACTTATACAGAACCTCCAGCATTAATAAATATACAACACGTTTTTTGAGAGGCTCATCCATTCCTAGCCTTCCAATGAGTAAATGAGTAAAATCCATCCTCTAATTTAATATAAAATTTTTATTCCCTAACTTCATTTACCTGTTCAGTTTATTTGAATAAGCTAATTTAAAGTCAAATTAAGAAGCACGTTTGTCACAAAGTGATCTACACTGTAGAATTCCATCCAAAAGATGCTTAAAACATGGCACAGTATAGGCTCTGGCTGGGGGAAATGGTGTGACTGGTGTCTTTGAATTCTTAAAATGTAACCAGCAGGTCAGGAGGTGAAATTGTATTTTGCTTAAATAATAACTTACCTGCCCTAATTTACCATAATTTGTGCCCATGGGACCAGCGTCTTCAACTTCCATCCTGTCTATGTATAAACCCCTGGTCTGTAGCCAAAGGCAAGACTGGGATTTGCATGAACATGTTTAAATCATCTAATTGAGCCGGTTGGTACAAAATAACAATTAGACACCATTTCAATAAACACCGTCATCATCAACAAATAAATGAAATAGTATTTCAAACTTCTTCACTTAAGTCTATCTGTATTACTCTAGATTTCCTGACACTGAAACTAGACACTGTGCCTTTTTCAGGCAGATTGTTGCACTAGGCCTCCCTGCTTCTTTTAAAGTAGAAAAGAAAGGTAACCCAATCTGAAGACTGTGGCAAATACAAGAAAAGCTTTTTAGGCTTGTGCCGCTACGGGGGCACTGCGGCAATCTCAGACCTCGTCCATTCTGTTCCGCAGTATAGGTGAGATTTCCCATATGTCTTCATTTTGTGTCCAACTCCACGGAAACCGAGCAGAAGTGAATGAGAGTGGAGCTGATGGATTGCACCCTGGGTCATGCATGACTTAACATCTCGTTTGCTTCCTCCACTCGCAGAGACAATGGAACAACAGCGGGACTTATACAGACACAAAAAGGTAAATGAGCTGACTGTTTCTGTTGAGGTCACAGCTTTTTTGGAGGTGACTGTTTTTTTCTATCTTCAGTAGTAACACATGCGCTTCACTTTCGTGGCAGCTGATTTTTTACCAGAAAGGGTGAAATGCTCTTTAGTTACACTAAACTTAAAATTCTTTGGCATTTTAAAAAGTGAAGACATGACAATGGAATTTCTCTTAAGTGAAGTGTATTTACAAAGAAAAGAAAAAATAATAAATTCAGAATAAATGTACCAACAGACCTAATATTGCACTGGTCAAAACAAATGCATACATTTAGGTGTAGATTTGACTAAACTGGTTGTGCGCACAAACACAGAAATATGCATATGCTTTTGTTTTTGAAGCCACACGTACACACAGTTCTGTTTCCATATATTCTGATTTCCACTCCCACACTGGATGTAGAACTTCTGCCTGTTCCACTCATCACAAGTCAATGAAAAGTGCAAACAAGTTAGCACATTAAAATAATGATGGCTCCATTGTAAATTAAAATCATGATTGCTTAAACATTTTTGGGTGGTATTTTACAAATCAAAAACATTTTTATTACGTTACTCACTTTATATTTCAACTCAATCCATATCACCCGCTGCTGGCTCTACAAAACTCTGTGTACGCCTGCTCTGACACATTCTATAATTACTTATTATAGATACTTACTCAAATAATTGTATACATTTCTTCATTTATAAATAATGAACTGTATGGGAGAAGGGCCTGTCCTAAATAAAGCACATTCCCTTATTAGTTTAATTAAAGCTGGTGTCTGTACTACTTTTTAATTATATATGGCTACCACTCCTATGTGTGATGGAGTGTTGTAAAACTGACAAGGTGACACTTTCCTGTGGTTTGAGACACCCAGCATCTCTTCCGTCAAGAAATGTGGATCGCCTTGTCACGGCTGGTTGAGTTTCAAGCCATTTTTGGTAAACGGTGCCCTCAAAGTGGATTTAAATTAGAGTCAGCATACTGAAAATGATGATTTTTATTAGGAGAGCTAGCGATCTTCTGGTGACCAACCATGTTACAGCAACAAAAATGAATTAATATCCACTATTATAAAATATGTCTTTTGCCTTGAGTGGCACACAAGGTCTGTTATCACTCTTTGAAATAAGATATTAAACCATTAAGGGTTATATTGACAAAATCTCCACTCAGAGATCCAAAGCGCTTCATTTTTACAGTAGATATATGCAGGAAGGACATCAAAGTGCTACCCATGGACCAAACAACCCTGAAGCCATCCATGAAGGAAAACTTTTGTTTGGCATTTGCTGCAATTATGTTCAAATGAATGGGACTGTAGCACTGCAGGACTATTGCAGGAGGAAGAATAAAAGGGGCCTTACTGTGGCTGTCAGTAAAATTCAATACAGATCCAAAATAAATGCATGAAGGTGGATGAATCATATTTTCTGAATCAGTGTAAATGCAGCTCATGGAGATGCATGGGACCTGCTGTGGACACCAAATAACCTTGTTACAAGTTATCTGGGAAAAATATATTAATAACCCTGTTTGAGGGGAAAAAATATATTACGGTGCCTCTGCGACCCCCTCCTTTTCCCCCCAGATAATGACATTTCAGTGAGAGCAAATGAAATGGGCCAATTTTCAAACTCATTATAAACTCAGTTCTCAAAAGGAGTGAAAAAAGGGGGAAAGAGAGGGATAGAGAGATAAATGATAAACATTGACATTGGCTTTGTATTTGTGTGGTTTGTGTGTACCTGTAAGAGACTGTGTGTGTGACTGTATATATACTGTATATATGCCTTGTCTGCACCTTAAGATGTGTACATGGATGCTCTGTGTGCTTTCTGTCGGCCTGTGTGTGTGTGTGTGTGTGTGTGTGTTTGTATGTGGATGCATGCTTTCTGCAGACTTTTGTGTTTTGTGCGTGTGTGTGCGTTACGTATGCTTTGAGCATACCTGTTTTTGATGTGTGTGTGTGTGTGCATCAACTCAGCCCAAAGCCAAGCTGACAGACAGCTTCCCTCTGAGGAGCCCCTTAGTGTTTCTGATTGATCGTCATAATGCCAAGGTACAGGCCCTGTCCTTGGTGCCTATGCTAATCGCAGGCTCATGCATATTTATGAGCTCCTTGGGAATCAACCAGCTAAATAAAGGATGAGGCCGTTGGCTTGGAGCTGCGTTCATCACTGACTCTGATTGATTAGAAAAAGAAAAAAAAATCTGCCTTTAAAGACATTTTTTCCTCTCTCCAGCTCAGGGATCATATTGGGAGCTCGAGACTTGTAGGAGAGCAAACAAAAAGCAGAGGTCTCGATTAAATAGTTATAATAAAGTGTGTGTAGTTCAACCAACATGGCTGCCATTCTAAGACTTTTAACCATGGGTTTTATTAGTTAGGTTTATTAGTGTCCCACCATTGGTTAATTAAAGGATTAGATATGATATAGAATATAGAAATTGGCCATTACCATACCAGAATTGTTTTGTTTTTTGCATAGTAACCTAAAGACCGTGGCCTGAAATGAAGGGAGACCCTTGCTTTGTTGTTTACTCTCACTGGTAGATCATCTAATTCAAGTTTTCAAGTTCAGACTTACTTTACCTTTTGCTTTTGGTGTTTCAGTTTAAACTATATTTACTGTTTAATTGATTTCATTATGAAGCACTTTATAACCTTTGTTTTTAATGCCATGTAAGTATATAATTTCCTTACTACATTCTGTACTTAAACAAGGTTATACATATTTATTATTATTTTATTTATTTAACTTTCTAACTGACAAATCATCTCTCATCCTGTGTGGACTCGATGGTGGAAACGTATCCAGGAATGTCTGCTCTTTAGCCGTGATGCTAGCTAATAAGTTGAGCAATAACATTGTAGACCAGTGGGGGGGTTGGGACCACACTAGGAGCCACCAAAGCTTCACGGGGGGCTGCAAGGCTTTCTTGATTTTAAGGGGTGTAAGAAAACGTTCAAAATATACACAGTAGACCTATAGCTCAGCATTTTGTTCATGTCTGTGAAGAAAACTAAATGTGATTGTTTTTGTGTTTGCTATAAGCTATATTCACAGAGCCTTCCCTCTCTGTCCTGCATTAGAAAAATACACAATAAAACAACCAAAGTGCTAATAGCCAACCATCAGGGAGAAGAAAACATAAATTTGTCAAAGTCAGGGGTCATCACTTTACTCAATAAAAGGGCTCCCTTAAGGAAAAAGATTGGAAACCACTGACGTAGGCCACAAATATGGCAGCAACCGGCACCAGATCAAGATACAGTCTGAGAATCATTGTACGAGGTTTTATTTGATGCTAAAGCCTGAGACTGTAAGACTGTTTAAAACTGCACTAGACAGTATCACATGTTGGACCCTAAAGACTTAAATACCCAAAGGTTTTAGACTAGAGCTCTCTTAACAAATTGAAGAGAGAGAGAGGGAAATGATCTTGCCCAGCTCACTCATTTCTGTTTAGGGCACAGTTTGTATGTTGCTGATTACTTTAAATTATTTACTGCGTGAGAGATTCCCCTTCAGTATCCATAACAGCAGAATTTCAACTGGGAAAATGAGATGCAGTATGAAAACTAGTTTAAAAAATGTAAGTATAAAACATTCAGTTGGTGTTTCAACCAAAATAGGACCAATATGAATGTTATATACAAATCACACCACTCATCAGTAGGATTGTAGGAATATTTTCTAACATGTTGTGACATTAAGCTGTCGACCTGATCCATCAGATTCATTCATACAATGTGATTTATATCAAAATTAGAGGCTGTAAGAAGAGAGAGATGAGAGCACATTTAACATTTTGGTCCCTTTATTTCATGTTAACCACATTTCAAACAACTAAACAACCAATGGTAATGGCATCACCAGATCTAAACAACACTTTGCTAGACAAATAATCATCGGAATAATAATTATACAAAAGAAATGTACAAATTCAGGACAAATAAAAATGCAAAAAGAAAACAAACAAAATATATAATACAGATGAACGGCCATGAACCAAGCCAATAAAATAAAGCCTTAGTGGAAATATAAATGATAAACATTTCTGGCATTCACATTGTCTTCAATACAACACTCTTGCTGTCTTTGTCTTGATAGGTCCATTAAGGAGCCTGACTGGACTCCAGCACACAAATAAAACGCAAGCGCGGACTGAACAGTTTGCCACAACATTTTGCCACAAGTATGCCGATTCTGGCCAAGAGCATTGACACCTACGAGCAATCTTTGCTAACTAAACAAAATGTTCACCAGAGATCCACCTTCACCGCCCTTAAATGTGAAGTTTTATTCCAAACTGGGGAATCCATTGTCTCCAAATACTGACTCCTGCTGGTATGAATTGATGACGTAAAGGTAAATACAAATAGTTTTATTTTTTTTAAGATATTGGCTTACAAAATCGATTTCGATGATTCTTCTAAAACAGATCTGTGGTGTTTGAAAATGAAGCCCTTAATCTGTTCTTTCATTGTCCATATTACCTCAGACGACACAGCGACTATTCTTTAGCCACCAAAAGTGCCAACGAATCCCTAAATATTATCACAGTCCTTATGACTCAACACAGTTTAGAGGGTGCTAAACGGAAACGGGCAGTGTGACTTTAAAATTAGCCTGTTTAGTTCTCCTCACATCTTTTGAATGGACTTAAGAGAAATATGTTCGTTAAAAGATGAAATTCTGATCAAATGAGGAGATAATGCTGAGGTCCTGTATAATCCTCATTAACTCCCCAACATGTCCTTTGCGCTGCAGTGGCATCTGAACTGTCAGCCATGTTGACCTCCTTCCACTGGGATCAACCGTCAACTGAAATCATTTCCTATCGGACTGGAAAGAGAGTTTGTTAAATGAATTTTTAAACCTGCACACCTCAATGGGCTTGTCGAAAAAGCAAATGTGAGGCTTTGTTTGCAGAGGAAAAGTAAATGTGACCTGTCTCTTTGTCTTTGTGTTATCGTTTTAATGAAAGACGGCAGGCTGGGGAAACGGTCTAATCCCAGAGCTTCTTTTTCACTGAAATGTATCCAGAATGTCTAACATGAAACACAGCATGGCTTATGGATCTGATCTTAATCAGGAAAACTAACGAGTCTATCTTTTTGATCACTGTGGGTCAACTTTACTCTGCGTTCATCCATAAGCAATTCTGATTTGCAACTCATTTCTGAATGATCTTATTTTCGAGACTAATGCTTGCCAGATACTGGAAACAATGAGTGAAAAGTTTGTGTATATTGTTTCCCCCCATGCTAATGCTGTTGTGTTGAACTGAATACCATCTGCCTTGGCATTAGATACGAAAGAAAAGTGAGGAGAAAGAAATGAAGTACACAATTTTCATTGCTCAGGCGAAGTCAAAATGATCAAAACCAATAAAACGTGGTGAAAACTAATGTTGGGCTACTGAGTGATTGATTTTGCCTGCATACAGTTCAGGAGGCATGCGGGTAAACATGGTTAGGCTAGTCTTGATTTCAGTTAATAATTTATCCCAGTTTGTCCTTTCAAAGCAAGTATGTTAAACCACATAAACCAACTGGAAAAAAGTAGAATAAGTTACATAATTTTTTATATGGAATGACTGTATGGAGGGTTTTTGTTATCTTCAGTGAGAGCGTGTCACTGCCGTTAATACCACAAACAAGATGCAGTCTGACATCGTTGTTTGAAAAACGTTTCCTGTACCCAGAGCATCACAAGTTCAACCCAAACAGCCATGTTCTTAATGTCTCCTTAAGGATAAAACTTAACTGCCATCGGCTTCCTCATTTTAAGTCACTCTGAATGTGGGCGTCAGCTAAATGTGCAATATGCAAAAATATATATCTTAATTCTTTAGACAACATGTCTAAATGGACAGTTTGTAAGGTATAATAATAAGACTTTGTTCCAAACTATAGCCACCAAGTCGCGGAAAATGTCACCGACACAGCTTTTCAGAGCGATAGTGTTTTGAAATGAAACCTTTATTTTGAAATGTGTCTGGTGCATGATGTTTGTCTGTTTGTTTGTTTGACTGTGGTTGTCTTATCGTATTTACAGTAAGGGTGGATGCACACTATAAGATTTTGACAAAACCGACTTTACGTAAAGTCTTCCAAAATAGATTTATGAAACTTTTTTTTTTCTTACAGCCCCAATGAAAAAAAAAAACCTGGAGCAGAGACAACAACAACAACAACAACATTTGGTCTTAAAGGCAAGGCATGATTTCTTTTTCTTTTGTGTGTTTAATGCTGTTGTTATTCTTCACCATGCACTAGACTCCACTCACTGTAGCTTGTGACATGCTACTTCTTCCTGTTTAACAGTATTTGCAACCACATTTTTCAAGCGAAACTGTTGACTTGATGCAGTATGAAGGAAAAGAAACCATACTGAGAATATTTTGTAACCAATTACTGAATTACAAGTATCATTAACGCAGTCAGGAGGCCCGAGCCTCAAGGAAAATTCATCAGCTTGTGATTTCAAAGAAAAATGCCAGAAATATTAACAAGTGTCTGTTGGTTTTTGCTTTGATCCAGCTAACTGAATCATCAACAACATCCACATTTCAGCTAAAGTCAGCCAGACATGTTTCATTACTTTCTACAAATACTCTGTGGATAAACACTGGAGTTCAAAATGCAGAGTCGAGGCATCGCTTGAACCTCAGCTAAATGTGAAAGTTCTCAAAAATCTTCCAGTGTGCATCCAGCCTTCAGAGGGAGACAACATTCAAGGCATAGAGTATATCTAAAAAGGAAATACTGTACAATAGTCACATCACAGCCCAGCAGAGAGGACAGAGAGATAGAGAAGGAAAAAGTGGCGCTTTTTTTAACATCTGATTTTGTTTTTTCAACGTATCATTTTTTCTTTTTTCTTTGTACAAGCATGTAAAGTCCCCAGTCTTGCTGAAGCGAACACACACATGAAAATCACTGGTGTGTATGTCTGTCGCCTTTTTTTTTCTCTTCTGTACAGGTTGCGTGTGTGTTTTTACAGGCACACACATAGATACACACGCGCACAGTCAAATATGCAAGCATGCCCTCTCTTATTCACACAGAGTGCACACACTCTCAAAAACACACACACACACACACACACACACACACACACACACACTCACACACACAGGCTCACAGGTTGGGTTCAGGTCAACACAAAGCAGTTTTGCACTTTGTGTGACCCAGTGTTGCGTTGAGAATGACAGGCAGCGTCAACGGCGAATCAGAAAAGAGATGTTCAGCCCACAGCCAATCAGAAGGAGCTGAGCGCCTCCAAAGCCACTTCATAGCAGAACTTATACTGTTCCTGCAGAGGGGAGGGAAAGAAAGGCAACGGTAAGCCATCTGCAAAATGATTTCTTCACTGTTACGCATTGCCAAGCAAGGATTAAAAAGTACCTTAAGTTGAATTCAAAGTATGTTTTAAATATCTTAAACTGAACTTTCCTTGAGTACCAGCAAATGCTGCAAAAAGTTATGCTTCAATTTAATATTAATTTATTCATCCATCATCATCAACAGAAAATAAAAAAACTGAATATAAAGAAAACAATTCTAAGGCTTTAAGCTTAAAAAGCTTAAAAATGATATGCAGAATATGTAATAAATACATGAATGACTATAAAATAACAGTCAAACGTAGAAACAAGGAGAAGGTAGACTTGCTCATTAACCTTTCACTATTCTTTGTATTCCAGATCCGATGGAGCTGTAAAGATGTAAGATGTGAACTTCACCAGCCAGCGCTGCCATCTGATTTATTTTTGTACATATAAGGTCTAAGGCAATACAAACTGTCTTAATCTGAAGTAATTGTCACATTTATCCATAATTACATATGGTAACTTTTTACTTTCCTTTCTCGTGCTGGTTTTCTTTTTTTATGCTTGCCAGGATTAATTATAGTATGAACATTTAGAGATTCAACTAGACTTCAGGCTAACATATTCACAATAAATGTGGTCCTTTGTGTGTGAAGTGAATGTGAAAAGCTATGTGAGACTAAATCAGACCTCCTCAATAATATGATAATGTTTGTGCGAGTGTGTGTGTGTGTGTGTGTGTGTGTGTGTGTGTGTGTGTGTGTGTGTGTGTGTGTGTGTGTGTTATCAGTCCTCACCATAGTCTCCACCATATTAGTCTTGTTGTTCCTCAGTGTTTTGACGGTGTGGAAAACATCCACAATGTTCTGCTGCTGGATCATCTCATTTATGCTGCAGATGGCACAGAACGTTCCAGAACGCCCTCCGCCGGTTCTGCAGAGGAGGAGGAGGCATGGAAGGTGGGAGGAAGAAGGGAGAGGTGAGAAGGATAAAAGATCTTCAATATTAAACAACAACATCATCATCCAGGAAACCTAGGTGTGTACGGAAAAATCTTCCTGCTGATCATAGACAGAGAAAAACAACAAGATTATAAAAGCTGGAGAACATAAGAGTTGAAGGGAACACAGAAAAAAGGATAGAGAGAATAAAGAAAGAAAAGGCGGGGATGTAAAAGATGAAAACACCTCTAGTTTCAGAGGTTTTCACTCTCCTTTACAGAACAGCAGTACTTGCTTTTCCCCTTTTATCACCCTGGGAGCTTTGCTTTTTAAACTGTGTTTATCATGGAATTTAATGTTTCCTTTCAGGCATTTCTCTTTCCTTTAGAGTTGTTCTCCTGCCTCTGCTTTGTTGCAGCTGCTGTGTTGAGGTTGACAGTGTCAGCCTTTCAAAAGTGCTCTTGAAACCTTTGAACCCTAAACTGAGAAAATGTTCAATGGGTTTTAATAAAACTCAATGAAAGAGGTTATAAGAAGCAAGATGTGTTTCTTTGTTGTGATTGCGTTTAAAGCTTAGGTTCGTGTTTGTTAGCATGTAAGAGGAATGGTTTCCAGTTTAGAAAAGGCAACATCTTTATCTTTCAGGGTAACAGAAAAGCATGGATTTGGAGACTACTCCCAAGTAACTTTAGCAAATACTCCAAAAGGACACATGTTTATGTGCAAGTGACAAACGGCTGCAGGAATTGGACTTTTGTCCCTCAGGAGCAAAGAAGGAAGCCGTGTGACGTCTCAGAGACAGAAAGTCTACAGAGGGAGGAGGTTGGGGGGTTGGATGGGTCAACAAAATGTTTTACTGTACCTAACCATAACCAAACTGAATTTATTTATTTTTTAAATATTTTTTAGGGCTTTTTGTTGCCTTTAATCAATAGTTAAAGCTGAAGAGTGACATGAAAGGGAGGAGAGAGAGAGGGGCTGACATGGAGCAAAGGGCCACGGGTCAGATTGTTTTAAGATTTTTCTTGTTGAACAGCAGGTCTGAGTGAGTTAGCTTTGTGTCTGTTTTTGTAAAATTATGATATTGGGACTGGTTGATTGCATTTTAATGTTTATTGAAATACCCACATTCCTGTTGTCCTACAGGGAATACTGTGAGGTGAGCTTTAACATACTACTCATCTGTACCACTCCTAAAACTGTATTGTTTTGTGGCATTTCATAAAAAAATTATAAATTATTTGACTTTAACAATCGACTTAGGTTCAAAGACAAACAATGCACCCTTTTTAGACCATATATGGGTGAAATAGTGCAAAAGCTGTAACAAAAAGATAATAATACACAAAGCCTAACTATGTTTGTAACAGTGGGATTAGGGTTCTCCGAAATGCAAATTACTGTACAGAGTACATACGAGTTCCAGAAAGTCAACTTTGTTTTTTTAGAAGACTTTTTTTAAATCTACCCAAAGTGAAAAACAATGAAAGTGAAGAAAAGCCTGAATTAGACAAAGAATGGCAGGATGTCACAGAGTGAACATGAAGTACAAAGAAACCTGTCACTGCAGCAAAAGAACATGAGCTCTACTAATGGATTTAAGACATCTGAATGGATTTGCTCACCATAAATTTGAGGTTTTTAGACTTAATACAGAGGCTAACTTGCTATAATGGACAAAGTGATGCAGTGATGCAAACATATTTGTGTTTTTACTGTCTATGTGGCCCAATCAGCAATCAGTGCTCTGCCAGTCAGCAGTCCGACCACCCACCATGAAGAGAGCTCCAGACTTTCTCGTCTCAACTGGTTCCAGCTGAATTCCTTCAGTATTCAGACTGAATAAAACATTCAGGCACTGAGAGGTAGAGTGGCAGCCATCACAGAAATCACCCACTGTCTAATTGCGCTGTATTAGCAATGCCAGGACCATTACAGTCTGCGCTCCAATCAGGATAGCTTAGATGGTATCAGATTAGTAGTCACTTTTCCAGATTTTATTATCTTCTTATTTTTGTTAAGGCCTGTAATTATAATTGAATGCTTTCAAAAGTGGTACAGAAGGTTAATAAAACAAACAATATTATGTATTTGTTATTCATAAAACCTGCCACTAGACCATTGATTGAAAACCTTTTCTTTGCTCAGAACCACTGAAAACATAATACCTCTACCTCAAAAACTAGTTATTTTCAGGTTTTATTACATTTTTTATGTGTAAATTTTGAAATGGGACACAGAACCTCAGGTATTCATTAGACTGGATTTGGATATTAATATTTGAGATAGAAATTTTAAATGCAAGGTTTTCCTTTTGCACTTCTTTTTCTGACCTCGTGTTAGTTTCAGTTTTTTTGAAGGCTGGCTACAGTGTCAAAAGATAGTTTTTTAAAGAAGGAAAAAAGTGAATACATTTTATATTAGAGCTGTCAGAAACATCTTTAAGCTGAAATGCATTAAACCTAATTACTGTAGAACAACCAGCAAGCCCAATAAAATCAAGACAGGTCAAGACTGAAGTGGTACGGAAGGTCGAAGACACTGAATAACTTACTAACTTGAATGACATAGTTTATATAGAAATGAACAAGATGTTTGTATTGTATTAACATCCATAGAGTGTCAACCTGTAAGCCCTTTCAATCATAAGTACCAGCTCAATGTTAAAAGAAAATGTCATTTGCAGGCCATTTCTTACATCTACAATCATCATTTTTGCACAGCTATCTAGCATACATGTTTTTTATTGAGAAAATTGTGTATTTTAAAAATATATCTGTCCACCAGTAGCTGCTGTAAAATGTGGCAATCCATGCTGATGCTTTTTGGTTAAGTGCTTGGTAAGGGGTGATGAAAGAAGAGAAATATCAATGGTTTGATTTACTTTGGGTCAGGAAGTAAAGTTGACATCTATGCTTAACACCCCCGAGCTAATTCAGTGTCACATTGCATCCTATTTTCATTATATCTCAGACTTTTTTGTGGTGGTGAAACATATTCATGTTATGTTATTCAATTTTCAATTTTACTCAATTTTATTTGTATAGCTCCAATTCATAACTGAAGTTATCTCAGGACACTTTTCAAATAAAGCAGGTCTAGACCGAACTCTTTATAACATTATTTACAGAGACCCAACAGTACCACCATGAGCAAGCACTTGGCGACAAGGGCAAGGAAAAACTGCCTGTTAAAAGGCAGAAACCTAGGACAGATCCTCCGGCTCTAGGTGGGTGGTCGTCTGTCTCGACCAGTTGGGGTGAGAGAGAGAGAGAGAGAGAGAGAGAGAGAGAGAGAGAGAGAGAGAGAGACAGACAGACAGACAGACAGACAGACAGGTGCACAGCAACAACAGTATTGGCAATGGCAATCTAGCAGGACCATGGCAGGAGGCTCCACCAGGATCGACAAGAACCTGCGAGACGAGAAAGCACAAGAACTCCGGGGAAGAAGTGAAGTTAGTAACATGCATTAATGGAACATGAATGAGTGCAGAAAGAGAGAGGAAGAGAGGAGCTCAGTGCACCATGGGAAATCCCCCGATAGTCTAGGCCTATAGCAGCATAACTAAGGGATGGTTCAGGACTCACCTGATCCAGCCCTAACTATAAGCTTTATCAAAGAGGAATGTCTTAAGCCTACTCTTGAATGTGGTGAGGGTGTCTGCCTCCCGAACCACAACTGGAAGCTGGTTCCACAGGAGAGGAGCTTGGTAACTGAAGGCTCTGGCTACTGTTCTACTTTTAGAGACTATAGGAACCACAAGTAGCCCAGCATTCAGAGAACGTAGTGTTCTAGAGGGGTAATAGGGTACTATGAGCTCTTTAAGATATGAAGGGGCCTGACCATGAAGAGCTTTATAGGTGAGGAGGAGGATTTTAAATTCTATTCTACATTTTACAGGGAGCCAATGCAAAGAAGCTAGTACAGGAGAGATGTGATCTCTTTTTCTAGTTCCTGTCAGTACTCGTGCTGCAGCGTTCTGAATTAATTGGAGCGTTTTAATGGACTTATTGGGGCAACCTGATAATAAAGAGTTGCAGTAATCCAGCCTTGAAGTAACAAATGCATGGATTAGTTTTTCTGCATCTGTCTGTGATAGGATGTGTCTAATTTTTCTAATATTACGTTATGTTATGTTTACATCATGCCCACAGATTCAGGTGGGATATGTAGGGTGGTTATTTATTTGGACCACAACAATTTCAGAGCTAAGTCATGTGCACTAAAGAGCTAGGCAAGACAGTTTGGCAGTTAATGTAGCTGGTTAAATACTTTGAAAGAGAGAAATTCTGGACATAGTTGATGTTTGAATCAAGGTGTTAATACTTGGAACCACATCATTTTAGATATGAACATGCCGTTAATAATTTAGGGATCTGTTAGGACAAGACAGTGCAATATTTTACAAATTTTTACTTTACTCTGTTCTATCTAAAATACATATACATATATACGTTTAGATAAATACAGCACAGATTGCTGTGTTAAGTGTGCTGCTTCTCACAGTTCTCTAACAGGTTCCCCAGTGTGATTTGCTGAAAATGAGACATGTACTCAGCATTAAAGACCCATCAGACTCCAACCTCCAGAACAAGTGAAGAGCAGAAAAATAATCCATTTTCAACAGCTACTGATTGAACCATCATGTTTCTCCTTATCTCTAGCATTACTGAGTCTGTGAAATCAATATCTGGGGCTGATTAGCCAGTGTAGCTGTCTTTAGCCAGAAGCAGAGAAAGCTTGCATCCTGTCAGTCACATTTACTGGGGTTGAGCATTGCAGTCAGGGTAGTGGGTACGGTACGGTGGGGCAATTCCAAAATGATTTGTCTTTTTTTATTTGCCAGTATTTAAATTTTCATTTCAATCATTATCATGTTATAGTAGAATATCTTATAAGAAGCAATCAATAGCTATGGGTATTGATTTTAGGGTCAACATTGATATATGTATCTGTCAATATCTATATTTCTATAAAACACCAGCATTTTAACCACTGATTCTGGTTAATAGTTAATATCTACCAGTCAATTCATTTTTAGATAGCTGCACTGATACTCTTGGCTCCTGCTTCTTTTAGTGACAAACTATATTATTATTATTTAGCAGTTGACAGTATTGATTGAAGGATGGTTTCATTAAAAAATTTATGAACATAAAGTGACTCAGATTGTTCACCGTAGCCTAAAATCAATAAAAAAGTTTTTGAGATATAAACTGCACATCAAGAAATCATTTAGCATTATTTAAGATATTAATTTCAGATTCATTTTTTTCCCCCTTCCTTGATTTTGCATTATACACCGTGGGTTTTAACCATAACAGCTTGTATTTCAAACTCTTTCTCTTCCACACTGAGATATAAAACACACTGAAAGCAAAAAAAAAAACCTCACAGCAGCTAGAAAAAAAAACAAAACAAATCAATGCCAATTCTGATTGGCCCAATGAGCTGTGACAGAGAAAGCTGATTGGATGAGCACCAATGATGTGCTTGAGGCAATGTTTGGAGTGTGTGTGCATGTGAGTGTTTGTGTGATATTGTTAGTGAAGTTCCCTGTAATCTCTCGACTATAGATTTTACAGCCTCCGTTTCCCTCCCTCATTATCAGCTTCATTTGTTCTGCTCAGATAGGATCTGTGTGGAGCTCAGCGGTAATACGCAGTGTGTACGCACATACGTGTCTGTGTGTAATCGCTATTATTCAGGTTTGTTTTTTCTTATTGAAACCAACTCTACGACTGTAACTGCTGCTGTAACTTTTTGATCATCCTGTTATAACTGACTACCACATACTGTTTATCTCATGTGACTAGAAACCCCACACTGCAGACTGAGGTTACCGTATCGAAAACATAAAATCGGTGACTACCTCAAACCTACTGAAAAGAGTTTTTAACTGGTTATGAAACAATCTCAATTTAATACTGATGCAAACATGTGGCCTACAGAAAACAAGACCATCAATGAGAAGATGAGTGTGACAGGTTATTTCAATATAGTTTGCAAACATTGCATTTTGGTATAAAATGTTTAAGAAATCTCACTATAATCTGAGAACAATTTCAGATAGTATTACTGGCTGAGGCTGAGGCCATTTACTTTATGTACGTATATATGGTGACTATTCCAGTGATTTATAGCTTAAAATAAGGCTGGGTGTTTTGTAGGTCTTGGTGGGTGATTGGTAATGTATCATCCAAGTCTATTGAAAACAACAGAGACATAAGGTCTAACTCTAATATTAATGTGATTATCTTGTAATCTTATAGGCTTAGATAAGGCACAGTTTAGCTAATTTATAGACATGAGCCATAACCATTGTTATCAGCTATAATAAATTAGTACCTTATTTTATTAAGCATTTATGAATAGTCCTTTAAACGTTTTTAGACCACCTTCGCCTCCTTATAGTGCACACCAGACATATCTGAACTGAGATAAATGTTGAGTTCAGGCCATCTGTATGTTTGACAGATCAGTGGGGGAAAATAAAGCATCAAATAACAACTGAGAACAATGGATGAGTCTAGAAATACCATATATTGTATATATCATCTTAAAGGGTTGTGTGTGTGTATGGTTCCATGAAAATGTGCGCTTCTGTGTGTGAAGTGAACATCTGATTTGTCTTAAATGTATGTGTGTGTGTGTGTGTGTGGATGTGTTCTTTTAGAGAAAGCGTACTTCATCATTGTTAAGTATATCTCAACATCTTTCACCTCTCTGTCTTTCTCACACACACACACACACACACACACGCACTAAGAGCACATTTGTCTTTCTACGATCGTTCATCCTAGTGAGCATCCCTGGAACAAGCCAGTCCTCCTTTCACCTGCTTCTTACAGTTTTGTTACATGTTATAGAGGATGCGCATCTACATGTGTGTGCAACATTGAACTTACAGGCAGTGTACCACAGTCCTCCCGTCTCCTCCGTCATACTGCTCCTGCCACTTAGCCAACCTCCTGACCAACTGGAGGATTGAGCGTTTAGAGAGAGGCGTGTCCCTGTAGGCCGGCCAGCCGATGAACTGAAAGTGCTGCACCAGGCGGTAACCGTCCTGTGGCTGAAGAGAGAGGTGTGAAAATTAGGATTCTTATCGTCATAGCTGTCATCACCGCAGTCAACATCATCCAGTAATTCCACTGGGAATGTAAAAGTGGGTGTCTGTCACCTCCTTCAGACCTTGTTGAACCAAGCTATGATTGGAAAGAATTCAACACATAGTCTGACATGTGCCATGGCCAAGTCAGTGCAGCAATTCAAGGAACTGTGGTCACCTGATTTTGAAGTGAGCGTCTCCAAAGGCAAGTGACAGACAAGTGTAGTCTGAAGGTTGGCTGGTTTCACTGAAGCTGGCAAACAAGTTAGATCCTGGAAGGAAGGAAGTTTCTTCTTCCATCACCAAAAACTCTGTGAGATTTATCTTGTGTCTTATTTGTCCAGAGACCTGCTGGAAACCCTGCAAAACCGGGCGGATGTACTGCTCAGACACAGTGTAGTTGTAGGCAGGAGTTGCCAGTGTTCTCAGTGGTGGTCTCATTTGGTAATGATATACTTAACTGTTACATAAAGCACTTTTCATGTGTTAGCACGCTGTGGTGCTCTAATTAGTGCTTGTTTCTGAACAAAATGCCTTCTCAAAAGAAACAGGATTGGACTCAACAAAGAAGGCATCTTATAATGTTTAATTCAATTTCATGGCAGACAAAATGTTTTCAGTCGTCTGGCCCGAGGCAGCTGGCATCCACCACCTAAAATACCAAAACCCGCGATCACTGTCAGACTGATTTACTGCTAGGTTTGCGACACAAGCATATGCAAACTGACATTTACAGACACAACCAGATACAGCGGCATCTGTTTTTGTCCACTACCTTCCCTCTCTTCCCAGTATACCTGCTTTCCCATTTCTATTTCTCTCTTCTTCCCTTCCTTCTCTCCCTTAATCTATTGCCTCCATTTCACCTCTTCCTCCATCTCCCCTTCCAATCAGCTCCTATTTCAAACTTTTTCTTTTCCTCACTCTTTTTTCCTTCACCTACTTCCCTCTGACTTACTCAGTCTTTCCCTTCATTGCTCGTTTTGTTTTCCTCTTCTCTGTATGTTTCCTTTTTTCTCTCTCAAATCTCAAATTCTCCTTCCTGCTCTTTCACTCGCTCCCTCTCCATTTGATGGCTTAGTGGTTGGTGGTAGCTAGGTTGGAGCTGCTCACAGTGTGAGATATGCTGTTGTGGCGATGATATGAGCCATTTCACGCTAGACTGGTGATGTGTTTAGAGAGAGAGAGAGAGAGAGAGAGAGAGAGAGAGAGAGCTAGAATAGAGAGAGGAGGGTAGTGGGGAGTTCACTAAGCGCTATAGGAGCATGCAGACGATAGGGCACCACTAGAGTTGTACCGTCATGGATGGGTGAGAAAATGAGATGAGAAGGGAGTAACAAGAGGAGGCAATAGGGGAGGAAAGAAAAGGCAAAGGAGAGACGAGAGGGAAGGTGAAGGGAGAGAGGTGAGAGAAGACAAGAGGAGGAACAAGAGGACAAGGTGAGAGGATAGTTTTCTGTTATGTTCTGTTATTATTGCACCACCTCCTACCACACTGCAGTTTTCTCTTTGGAGTTCTCACTAAACCAGGACTCAGTTAGCAATGCTACTAAAGTATAGTGTGTTATTGGTGTACTTTGCTACGGTATCGTCTTGTCAGCTGCTTAGGGGGAAGAAAAGGTCATATCAAATAGAAAATGCCTATTATGTGTTGTTACATTGTGTTCCTAGGTGTATCGTTACACTATATGTCAAATAAAGTGAAGGATGGTATCTTTTCTTATTTTCATCTAAAAATTCAAAACTATTTTGTATTTCTATTGTCAGGCAAGTGATTGTTTCTCCATCTTGTAAACTGTCAATTGAAGTCTCAAAATTCCTACATTTATTGGACAGAAATCTAAACCTTACTTGGCACTCGTACTGTGAAGAGGTTACAATGTAAAATCCTTGTAGCTTAGAAACTCTTAGGCATATTCACCACTGAACTATTGGAAAGTTAAAAGAAAGTGTACTTCTACCTTTTGGCACGAGTTTAGGAAAGGTTTTTTTTCTCTTTCAGGTTGACAATACCCCTGTGCACAAAACCAGGTCCGTAAAGAAATGGTTTTCAGAGTGAGGAGTGGAAGAAATTGCCTGGCCTGCAGAGCTCTGACCTCAACCCAAGCCAACACCTTTGGGATGAACTGGAATGCTGACTGTGAGCCAGGCGTTATCACCCAAAATCAGTGTTGGACCTCACTAACACTCTTGTGTCTGAATGGGAGAAAATCCCGGCAGCCAGGTTCCAAAATCTGGTGGAAAGTCTTCCCAGAAGAGTGGAGGCATTAATGGCAGCAGATTAATGCTTATACCGTTGGAATGACTTCAGGAACCAAAAATGGATATAATATTTGGATATCCACCTACTTTCTGCCCTATATTGTGCATCTATCAGCAGCTCTTCGCAGTAGTTCACAGACCACTTAGCTAATGCCCAATATCAGCAAGTCCTGGTGTGAGTTCCCTACCCATTGCAGTTGGTGGTAATGTGACATTAGGAGAGGACAAAATATTTTAGCATAGGCAGATTAAGATTGAACATGAAAAGCAAAGCAAAGAATAAAAGAATCGGTCAGGACACTAACTGCAGGCTGAGAGTAGAGTCAAGACAAGACATAGTTGAGGTTTAGGTTGAGGATCTCTTCAAACAATCACCAATTTCTGCTTTTCATTAATGAAATAATTGTGTTTCAGTCACATGTACAGTCTTAGAAAGGACAGGAGACCTTTTTGCGTAAAGAACCATGTGTGTTTTCAATGTCCTTGAACAAAGCCCTGAACACCGATCTTACCGTTTATCTTACTCAACCTAAGACAACCTTCGGGTCATAATATAATGTAATAATCCATTTATCTTATTAAAAGAAGACTATAGTTTTATAAATTAAGTAAGTGAGGGTGAACTATGTGAGGGTTGCTTTGCAGGTCTCCACGGCTGTAACTACCTGCACTCAACAGCACAGAGAACAATTCCACCAGAACCACACATAAACAAAATACCATACTAGTATGAAAGTATGAAGACTTGAGTTTGTGAGTACCCTGGCCATGTTGCAGATCCTGAAGATTCGATTGATGATGTCTTCATCGATGTCTGCCGATATGAATTCCACTTGAATGGGACCATAGCAACACGAACTCTTTTCTGGCCAGTACTGCATACATAACTATAGAAAACAGATGTATAGAGAGAGACAAAATAGAGAAGAGTAGGACGGGATGTAGAAGAGAAAGAGCAAGAAAAAGAAAGTTTACACAGTTTAACAGGTACATTCAAATGGATTTCTTTCAAGTAGCGTAACAGCGCAAATAATAATTGGAAATAAGGAAAATCTTGTATGAATTCACTTCATTGATTATGAAGATTATCACCACCGTGGCTGGAAGTAAATTCCCTTTTTAAGTGTTTGTCTTCCAGGCCTGATAAAAGAGAATATAATTATCCATGCAGGATCAGAATGAGATAAAGCTGACTTGCTGGAAAAAAACACATGAAAACAAATTTCAGCTAATTTTCCTTCCACACACCTGCCAGACACACAAGAGAAATAAAGTCAAGTATTTGTTACGTTTTTTCAACCAGGTTTGTATTCACTTAAAATGCCAGATGTGTATGAGCTGAGAATCCACAACTAATTTACAATCAGCACCGGGCGAGTTGATGCAACCAAATCCGTGTTAGTCTGTGTTGATTACATTAGTTTCTATCCTTTTGTCTTGCATTTGTCCCAATGCAACTTGCAATAATCACGGGTTGTTGACTGTTAGCTGTTTGGTCTAATCCAGCGGAACAAAGACATTTTAATTAAATGTTGACCAACTGTGGCAGTCGCAGTTAGTATTACATCCTGTGTTATGTTGAACTCTGTTAATGAGTATATGTTGAATATTAATTTAGCATTTTGGATTGGTAAAGATTTGTTTAGGAATTGTTTTATAACTGCTTACATCAGAAATGGGTTTCTCTTCGTTCTGTTTTAATCATTTTGAGTCAGAGGTAGGATTGTGCAAAACTGTAACTGAAACCTTCTCAGTTTTTATGGTTTAAATCCAAGGACTGTCAATACACAATCACAATCATAAAAATTATCTTTGGGGCTATTGATCAGGCCCTGTGATGTTACAGTTGATGTGTCAGCTCCTGGCAATCTGCTGTCTGGTCTTTTTCTTAAAACTAAGTTAGCCAAAAGCAAATGGAAAATGGACAGGGAATACATGTATCTGTGTGTGTGCATGTTTGTGTGTTTGTACCTGTGCTGCGTCCATCTCATTGAGCATTACAATAGAGGAGCAATTGTAGTCAAACACCAGCCTCCAGAAGTCGCCCATGGTGTTTGGCAAAGGATGCTGGGTAACAATGAAGGCCGCTGGCTGTTTGTGGCTCTGGAGTGTTGAGATAGACCAGGAATAAATAACCACAGCAAGCAGAAAATAAAACAGAGCAACGATACAATGCTAATACATCAGGGAATCTCTGCAGCACTGAAAAGTTAAAAAAAGCTTTGAAGAATAGAAACCCAGAACGTTGGAAAAAAAAAAGGCAATACACACACTTACGTCCATTAATGCAGCATTGATGTAATTGGAGCTCTCTCCGTCCACAGATATGAGGAAAGGAAGGCATCGGTCTGCTGATAGAACATCCAAACTGCGGTTCTTGTCGTGGTTCCTGGGTAGCAAACCCACGCTGCAGTCCTCTGGACGAACTCTAGGGGTCACTATATTCAGAGTCTGATGGACATAAAAATGGTTAATTAATTCTACATTAACTTTAGTCTCCTAAATAGACAGCCTACTAATTGAATAGGGTAATAGAGCAAAGGAGATTGGAACAAAGCACTCTTCAGATTGTTCACAATCACTATGGCAGGGTAGGATTGCATTTAGGGTTCATTCAGTCTCCAGGCAATGAATGTATGTCCAGTCAACATCCCCAAGTTATAGATGACAAAAACAAGAGTGTGTGTGTGTGTGTGTGTGTGTGAGAGAGAGAGAGAGTGAGTGTGCATGCTCACCTGGAACTCATCTTTAATCTGGCTGGAGTTGGTCTGTGGGTCCAGTCTGCTGATGTTGTAGTAAATGGCTCTGAACTCACACACTGGTATGGCTGTGTTCCCACATAGACACGCCTCCAAGATGGCATCGTGAACAAACACATATTGCTCCTGCAATGTGAGCAAAAGCAGTTGATTAAAGTCCAAATTTCTTTTTTTTTTTCTTACAGAAAAAAGAGCAGACAAAGGTTTATTCTTGAACCTGCATGGGCTTGACTGTAGTTTCTCAGTGTGGCTGTAAGCACTAACATCTCTTGGACAGAAGGCACGGTTGGGCTAAATTGCATCTCCTGCCTTTTCAAGGCTCAGACAAACTCAAAGAATCCACTGTGAACACAGTTTTTCTTTGTCTGTGTGAATTCATTATTTTTGTGCTCGTGCTTGCTTGGCAGCCTAAAAGTGAATTAAAAGGGAGTGGTGCTTTGCCCTGCAGTGTTTCTGTGCTCTGGATCAAGTGTGCTCTTTGTGCTCCAACTAGCTCTCCGGTAAAAGCATCAGCCACCATGAGCTACAGCAGCCACTGTGCATGTTAATTTACCTCTCTCTCTTTCTCTCACACTATCTTTTCAGTTTTATCTAGAGTTTGTTCATTTTTATTTCTCTTTCTCCAATTTCTTTCCCTTGTTTCCTCAAACTTGTGTTTGTCTGCTGTCTCTCGCTATTTCAATTTGGTTCCTACTTTATCTCTCCATCTCTCGCTCTCTGTCGAATTTTAATTGTTGCCCTTGGAACGGGGAAGAGAGTTTCAAAAGCATCACTGACTGTCCACCAAATGTCCTCTCCTGCCCATTACCTACTCTGGTGACATACACACACACAAATACATGCAAAAACACATGTCTGCACACACACCCTAACCCACAGACAACAGACAAACCCTCATTCATATACAGACACACACACACACACACACACACACACACACAAACACACATCTTTCCCCTGTGCCTTTTAAAAGATTAATTGCTTTGTGTTGTGCGGAGCAGGATTATAATAGCGTCAAGCAGCTTCAACACTGACACAAATTGCTCCCACACATATTCAAAAGGCAGGGCAGGATGCATTTAGCTTGGTTTCAAGTGTGCATGCACACACACACACACACGCACACACATGCTAAACTAGCTTTTAAACCAATGCTGTCACATGAAAAACCTCAAAGTGATGCCCTGGGTAACTTTCCTGAACCTCGCACTTCTCAAACCCATTCAGAAGTCAATTTCAGGCTCTGAGCTTGAGCTGTCAGTCTGAAAATGAGGCTGTTTTTCATTTTTCCTGCTAAAGTTGACTTTTTGGATATGCAAGGTTTTCATCAGTAGTACAAATGGAATGCCGAGGCGGGATGGATTAGGCTGGCTTAAGGTAGCTTAGAGAAGAAATGAATACTTCTGTTCCAAAATGAAACACCCAACATTTGAAGATGCAGACTCTTTAAAAAATAATTGATAGTACAAAATTAGAACAAATTATGACACTGTGTAAAGGATAGCAAGCAACCCAAGTCCTCGGCTGACAAAAAGACAGAACTTCAGGAAATAGATCCTCCATATTTTGGGGAAACTGAACAATAGACCTCATGAAATGCAGTGTAAACTGATATATTTTTTGACTCTTCTTGCCCTAAAGGTGTGGACCTGTCTACAGATTAAGTTTAGCCAGCTCTAATTTAGGCCAGCAGTATAGTTATTTATACTTACTGTATAAGTACCAGTTAGCACTGTTTAGCTCAGTTGGGGGAATTATTTACATACTATGTATCTATCACAATCTATTCACAAACAGTTTGCACTGATTAGTTTTATCATCTGATATATAAATTGTAAATGAAAAAACTGCATTGGTCCTGAAGAAACTAAAGTAATTTAACTTGAACTAAGTTTCAGCAACTGAGTACTTGGAAGACTTATGTGTTTGTTTATGGGTGTGTTCGTAAACCTCACACTATATTCCTTATCGCGAGCTGAGAGCTGCCACACACACTGTTTGAATGTGTGCGTGTTTGATTTAGAGAATTTGTGCATGCTGTATGTGTGTGTTTGCAGTAGTGACATCTATTATTCAGGGAATGTTTAATATTGATAGACTGATTGGGATAGATGATATAAGACTGCAAGAAGTACTGAGAAACTCTGTCTCTCTTTCTATGCTCCTGCATCTCATACTACATGCAGAAGGACAAAAGGACAGACAGATAGACCAAAAGGACAGACAGATAGACAGACAGATAGACAGACAGACAGACAGACAGACGGACGGACAGACAGATAGCATGCTGCTAGCTAATGAAGCTAAGAGAGTTTACGGTTATTTCCTACATACAAACTGGGATTTTGTGGAATATTTCTGGATGTATGAGAGACACTGTGTAAGCCAGTGAGTATGTTTCAAATTCAGAGCAAAAACTTCTCGCTGTAGACCTTCTCATTAAGGCTTACTCCAACTTCCTATCAATAATCATTAGTTACTGATGATTACTTCTCGCTTGAATTAAAGTTTTCATGCTCCACTGGACATTTTCAAAAATGCAGAGTGCATAATTTTTCATCCTTCTAGAGCAGTGTACTTTTTGGAAAACTATGGTTGTGCACTAAAAGAGTGTGTGTGTCTTTTGTGTTGATGTGTTGTATGTACACCAACCTCTGTCTGGACCATGTTGACTCGTTGTGATCTCAGCTCTCTGATGCAGTTGAAAATGTCCACCACGCCTTCATTCTCCGCCATGTCCAACATGATGTCCACTGCAATGAAACAGCCCGTCCTCCCTGCGCCAGCACTGTAGAGACAAATGAAGAGTCACAACATTGACTAGCTAATAATTAAATATTACTACAAGCTCAACAACTTTTAGCTGGGCCTATGATTTTAAGTATTTATTATTTATTTGAATTGTCCATAGACCATTAACATTAAACATTTTACTCTAATATTCCAAAATATAATATTATATACTATAGACAAACATAATTGATAAATCACCACTAAAATATGAAATATGATATGAATGACAATATGAAGTCACTTGCTACATATTGGGCAAGAACATGAGGTCTGGGTTAAAAAAGTATCTGATCATTGCCATGTATTTATATATGTCTAAGTTATTTGAGGACCAACAGTGATTATTTACAAAAAGAGGTAATTGTCAGGACAATGGAAACATGTTGATTTCAGCGTTTGAACAATCAACCAGTGTTATTGTTTCTGATCAGAGCAGGCTATAAATGATGATAGGTGTTACTGAAGTGTTGCATTTTTATATAAGGTGTCATATTATATTCAGGAAACACTGTAAAACTAACACTTCATTGACTGTCTGAAAGAAAATCTGATGGCCTACGTGATGTCTGAAACACACAGCGTTAAGTGTGAGGAGGGAGTCTCTCTGTCTCTCCCTCTCTCTCACATACACACACACACACACACACACACACGCAAACATGTACAGACTTTAATACCCCATGTCAGGTGTTAACGCGACACATCCTGAACAGTGATGCCTGGAGGACAGAGACGGATGGAGGGACAGACGGACAGATGGATGGATGGATTGAATGAGCAAGGGAGAGAGAGGGAACGGTGGAAAGAGGTTAGTGATTGGGAGTGATAGAAGTGGTTGTCACAGGGGAGAGATCAAGGGAGGAAGGGAGGCATGGAAGGAGGGATGGAGAGGGGAACTGAGAGGATAAAGTATGGAAGGATGGAGAGAGGGAGGGGAAAAACCTATCTTTCACTTTGCAATCCCCCTGGCAGTTCCCAGAGACAGCTAGAGAGGGGGAGAGAAAGAGAGAGAGAGAGGGAGAGAGAGAGAGAAAGAGAGAGAGAGAAGAGAGAGATAAGAGCATAGAGAGAGGAAAGATAGAAAGGAGAAAGAGAGAGAAAAGGAGGGAGCGCCTCGGCAGATTACCTGTCAACCTCTGTGATTAATGTTGAGACCAGAACACTGCTGGGCCTCTGTGTGCGTGTGCATGCGTGTATGTGTGTGTTTGAAGGCCTCATGACACAGGCCAATAGCGTCAGAGTGCCCCCGGAAATTGGAAGTGACTGCCATAACTTCCTGCCTGTCTGTCCACATACTTTTACTAAAGCTGTCTGTTTACATGTCTGCTCGCCTCGTTTGTCCATCCCCTACTTTCTTCCACTTTCTTTTCTGTTTGTTCTTTATTTTTTTAATCTAATTGCCTGTCTGTCTTTGTCTCTGTATGTCTCTGTCTCTGTCTATCCTGTTAGAGCAATTGGAGCCCATGAGTGTGTGTGTTTTATGAATTGAAAGACAAGCTGATGCTGTACTAAGCTGCACCTCTAGACTCTTTTGCTTTCAAAGGGTTTAATAAGATGTCACAAAACTTAAGTTTTTTGTTTAGTTATTTATTAAGTAACTAAACAACTGATTAAACTGGTGTGTCATTGTCATTTTTGCTTTTGTCATCATTTTTTTTTATTCCTATGCACTGCTGTCCTTTTTACAGTTAACTTAAGAAGGGCTTGTCTACAACCTAGGAGGGTGTATCGTGTAAAAACTTTTCAGTTCCACAAGAAATACTGTAAATACAGGGAACTTACTTTATTTATTTATTGCTGAAGTCATGTCATTGTGAGAGTGTAGAAATAGAAGAGGAGGGACTGTGTTAAAAACGGTGGGAAAAGTAAGAGGCCTCCAAAAAGAGGCCTAAAGCAAGAGTTGGTTTCTGAATAGCAATAGCTTCTAGAAATTATGATTATATACTACTAAACTGTTTTTTGAGGTAAGTCAAATTTCTGCTTGGATTATTTTGGCAACTTGTAGAAGTTGCTATGTTTTTGCACAGAAGATTTTGGGAGATGGTCAAGGTGGATGGGGGCCGCGTAAAGACCGAAGAGTCTGCATACTCAGCAGTCTGGTGAAGGTCAGGGAAAGATTGTGGTTTCGGTTACATATTAGTAAAATAAACATAGTCTTATCTTCTGCTTCAAGTCACTGTTTACTTTCTCAATATTTAACCAAGACGATGATCTTTCCCTGACGAGTGCTGTGAGTGCCTCTGCAACATGAGCTTGTCCCATCAACCACAAGACTTCATACCACACCGGGAGCGTTTTGCCAGCCCAATTTTGTTGACTTGCTCAGATTTAGTTGATTTGGTCATTTTTCCTTGATTTTTTGTACTTCTACCACAGGTAAGTCTTTGCCTTTTCTGTGTCTGGCTTTCCGCCTGTCCTCCCTGTCTTTTGTCTCTACCAGGCACTATATGGCAGATTAGGGGTTTAATTCCCATTGTGGCCACCAATTCAAAGCTATGTGTTGTATTAAGGTGGACCACCAAATGGAATGCATAAATTTTAGATGCTCATGCTAATGTGAAGAATCGACTTCAAACATTTTTTTTTTCATGGTTTGTCAGAGTGCTGACCTTTTAAAGCTTGTGCCTGCTGACAACCTAGCCCCAGAGTTGAACTGTTGTGTCCCATAAAGAACAGAACATGGGGGTTAAATATACTGTCGCCATGGGGATCTTAAAACTGTCACTTTTTTTTTCTTCCTCCATTCCTGGTCGATGATGATGGTGGTGGGATGAAAATGGGGTTGAAGGTGAATTTCTTTCTTTTTTCCCCCCGTTGCCTACTTTTTAAAGGTTAACAGCATACAGTTGATTTATGGACGAGGGAGATTGGTATGAGTGTGGCTGTGTGTGATCATATTGGTACTATTCAGCATAGAAGGAAAGGCCGACAATGAAACAAAGGAGATTTTCAGGCTAAATGTTATCGAGTAACACAGACAGATTTGTCATTTGAATTACTTTAGTTAGAAGACATGTCATAAGTATTGCCCTTTAAACTCAACAAATGTGAATCAACTAAAATAAAAAAATAGAAATAGTGTGCATTATTATCATCTGTTCATCTCAGAGGCTAGAAAGTGGGTTGGTGTTGCTATAGTCACCATGTACTCACTATTGTTCTCATCCAAGATCAGAAGAGATATATTTTCACTGATCTAACCAACAACTTCTCCAAACTAAACTACAAAATACATTGTAATTGCCTTCCAAAACAGCACATACAGTGTATTCGTATCTACATCACAGTACAGTGCCTACATTATCTATTTGTCAGTGCCTTCCATAACAAATGATTGTTACACAGATATTAATTTGACTGTTTTATGATCTGCCAATGCAGTTTAAAATGTTTAGTTGTGGGCTGACTACTTAGTTAAGGTTTGAGAAGGTCAAGATTATGATCATGGTTACAGGATGATCAAGGTCACGGTCAAAAGAAAACAATAATGACTGGAAATGGGAAATGAACAGTAGTTTGCCCGTGTCCAAGTCACATGCTTTGACCTCTTGTGGCACCAATAACAATGTCATACTGCCTTTGTTTCAGACAGTCAACAGTCTTCATCCACACTGCCAGATTCTTGGTCAGTTAGAGAACTTTAAGCTAAGTTTTCCTCTTTGTGCTGACAAATGTAACCTTGTTTATTCCCGTGCCTCAAGATAATCACCTTCACTTCAGCTACCTGCCTGCTCCTTCCTATCAGCCACACTGCCTCCACCTTCAGTTCCACTCTGCCTGAATCTCAGCCATAATCTCCCCACCACTGCCTTCAGGAGCTTCACGTCACCGTTTCATCAACTGGTTCTCAATAAAGCCTGTCTTTGGTCATCATAACCAACCAAGTTTGTGTTCTGCTTGTGGGTTCCTCTGTATAATAAACATGCTTTGAAATGATCATCAAATATGTAATATATTCAAAGTGGCCCCTTTTCTCCATACAAAAACAAAAAAGAACACTCCCTGTGCTCTGTGTTATACTGGCCCTGCAAAACCCTTTGCTCTCTGCCAGGTCAGCCAAAGAGCCAGGAGCTGTACTACTGAGTGACTGGCTGTACTTGTTTGTCCTTGTCTGGTCTGTGCAGCCACTGACCAACAGCATCAGGGAATTAAGTTTATCTTCTGTACAAAACCTGTGTGTACTTCAAGTGTGTGTCTGTGTTCTTACCTGCAGTGTGCCACTATGGGCCCAGCATCAGGCGGGTTGAGGAACTTGACCTGTCGTATGAAGCCAAGCAGTCCGGTGGCGTAACAGGGAACGCCATGGTCAGGCCAGCTGGTGAAATGAAACTGACGCAGTTCGCGGATCTCATGATGACCCTTCTGAAAAACACACACGGGAGAGATTTTACACTTAAGTTGCATATTTTCCAATGGCAATCGCTGAAAACAATTCTTTGCCATTTTGTCTCTTGATAATGACAAATGCATGGATCTCACAAATTTTATCATGGCCCTTTTGGGAAAGAGTGACAAGAAGACATATCATGGTTCAGCAGCCTAATTTACAGCGGGGAATTTCAGGAACCTAGGGGCTATGTGGCCTCTTTGGCTTCAGATGGAAAATAAATCGATCTCGTGGATGTCAAGATGGCACTTTGGGCCACTTATGGGAATGAGAGACAGGAAGACTTATCGTGGCTCATTTGCCTAATTTACAGGGGAGATTTGAAGGAAACTGATGGCCATTTTGGCTCCACAAAAAAGATTAATTGATTTCACAAATCTCATGATGGCCCTTTTGGGAAAGACTTACAGGAGGAAACGCCATGGTTCAGTTAATCTGCCTAATTTACTCAGAGATTTTTGGTATCTCGCAGTCATTTTCCCTCCTTTATGTATGAATTTTAAGATATCACAAGTGCTTAAAGTTATCAGCTAGTTGACGAGAAGAGTCTTCGTCGAACCACTTTTTATCAGTCAGATAGTTGCAGGAAAACAAAATAACGTTAAACTCCATTCGGGAGCTGCGTGAAAATATCAAGGAATTGTTGACACCTTTTCTCTTTTCATATAGTCTCTTACTGGTGCACTGCTGCATGTGCTAACTGTACTAGCTGCTGCCACTAGCTAGTAGTTGACAAGACAAATCTGTAGTTGGAACAGCCCTGACTCCTCAGAACTCCTCTTTTTCAAGAGATACAGAAAGAGACATATTGGTACATACCAGTGGAGGATGTAGCAAAATGAGATGGCAACAAGCATCCATTGTGGCTGTCCATGAGATAGCATCTAGACATTTTAATGAACTTTTAAAGGGCTTGTAAATACTTTCCTTACTAACAATGGGGATATTATTAAGACACCAAAGATAACATTCTGATGCTTCATAGATAGCAGTTAAGTCTTACAATAGATCACCTCCCTGGGACACAGAATACTACTACTATTACTACTCTGGTGGCAGCATGTCATACTGAGATGATAAAGACAGACTTCTGTTTTGCATCAGTACGGATGCTGCACTGCATGGTTGAAAGTCACAAATTCCTTTCCTTTTATGAGCTAGGGATTAAAAAGGTCATGGGCATTGCACAAAATGGACATTGTTCCTCATGAAAAATGTTACGCTAAATCCATGATGTTTACTGATATTAATTAGCACAAGTATGAAACTCTTGTTTAATCTCATGTTGTGTATGCTGCAGTTTTCTTTATTACTATAATGTCTTACATGTTGCTAAAGTACAGTGAACTCATGCATTCAAACTGCTGAGCTATGGATGCATTGTCATTGCATTGGTAAAAAGCCACTGATTAGCATCCCAGTGCAACTCCATCTTTATTTACAATATATCCTATTGCTACAAATGCAACCATTGCAGCTTGCTTTGCTGCCTTCATAAAGGTGAAGGGAGGAAAAAAAAGAAAGGAATGGAGATTGGACATCATCAACAAGGTGAGACTTTCAGTTTTTATTTGACTATGACTAAATAATGAAATGTATCCTTAATTACAGAGCTAATGCATAAATAAGAAATATATATTTTTTAATTATGCAAATCTATAAGACCGGTTTCCAGCAAAGGTGTCTGGCTGCATTTGAATCAAGAACATCACACAACTTAAAACTAAACATCCAGGACACCCCAAAAACCTTAGTGTATTCTGACAATTTTAGACCTGTCAGCAGTAACTCTGTATAACTTTGACAGCATACCCCACCTTGTTGATGTCAGATAACTGCACATCAGCAGGGCTGAAAGGTCTTGCTTCTAGTTTTCTACTCTGAATTCTGACCTGCATCTCTCTTTACGGGATATAGAAATTTTACCATTTTTTTTGACAGCTCTGGAATGCAGCATAAGATATGTATGACCCTTTTTCAGCTTCCAGCAGTTCAATCTTTCTCCACAACACTACATGCTTCTGCTTTAATAATTCAAACCAATCAATTCCATTATACTATTCCAAACTAAACGGGGCTTAAATGGAAAGAGCCATGTCCTCCTCAGTTCAGTTTACTCTCCAAGAATAGAACTGGGAGGGAACTGTTGTTATTGCAGCTCCCATTCTGGCTCTGGTGGATAGACAAGGTTGTAGTGAATTGTTTGCTTTTAGTGCCTTGTGATAACCTGAGAAGCAGGGAAACATAAGAAGGTAAAAGACAGGGGGAGAAGTCAAGAAACAGACAGTGACTGGGAAGGAGCAGAGGTCAATGAATTGAGTGGGTAAAGGAGAGAGAAATAAACTGAAAAAGAGGGAAAGTGGTGGTGTGGGGAAAGAAGAAGAGACATATTTGACAAAGGAAAAAAGAGGAAGGTGAAGAAAAGAAAGAGGAGAGAAATGGACATAAAAAGAGAGTGAGGGAGGCGTGGAAGCACAGGGGAGAAAAATAAAACCCAGAAAACCACGAGGTGATTTGATAACTCGATTGATTTGCTCTCTTGTGATGTTGAAATTACTTCTCTAAATCGATAGACGGCGACCCAACACAACCAAGTCCATGACTGGTTGGTAAAAAACCAAACGAAAACAACACGAAAACAACATTATGGTGCTTGACATGTTGGGAAAAGCTGATGACCATATAAACACTTTAAAGCAGCTCTTTTCTGCGATGCCAGAGAATGATCTCTGCAGCGTTAGTGACAAGGTATAAATATCGCTGACTACCTTTCAGAGAGGTTGCTTTTCATGTGAGCAATCATCCAAGAGTTGCACTGTGCTTTAATATGTTTTATTGTTGTTATTCACATACGTTTCTGCAACGTGCCATAACTGAACAAGTGAGGGTTTCAGCATCTTCCTCAAGGTTACTCTAACAAAAAGTACAGCTTCTCTTAGCTGAAAGCTGAACCTGTGACCTCGTACATGTACTGTACAGGCTCTCTAAAAGTCCACCCTGACATTAGTAGAATTCTTTTGTGTTGGGGACACAGGACAAAAATTGTATATATATATATTTTTGCTTCAGCATTCTTGAGCTGTGTGCTGTAGCATGTGAAGATCCAAGAGGACACATATATTGAATGATTATCTGGGATTTGTGACCTTTATGTGGAAACTAAAACTATAATATACACACTCTAGCTTTTGTGTGTTGCTCTATAGAGTTCATTTTACCCAGACTATGTAGTGGAAGGACTTTCTGGGGAAAATGTGGTTTGATTGCTAGGCGCCGTTTGAGAAGCACTGCCTCCCTATTCATTTCAATGAGAGCACTGCATTGTATTACTCAAACTCAACTCTCCTCGTTTGCATTTAATCGTCTCACTGGTACATGCCCAAATAAATGTAATTTTTTTGTCCTAAACACCTTCTACTCAACCAGACACCTAACACCTGTCTTGATGCCCACTGCCTGTGAAGACTTATATAACCAACCATTTTCTGTGAAGGTTCAGATCAATCATCTAAGTGGTACAATATCTGGAGAAAATTCAAAGATTTGTGAGAAAGTACTATCCCCATGAGGCACCCACGCCCCCCAGTGGGACGGGTCCACCCAGAGTTAAATGAAAACAGGGAGTACCTGTTCTTAATCATATCCTCATCTGAACACCGTCATGGCGGTGGTGAGGGTTTTGAGCATTGTCAATAACTGGTGTTTCAACCCACTTCTGGGAAGGTTTCTCTAGTTTGACATTAACAACCTATTTTGCACATCTCTCAAACCATCAGTCCCATCTAATATGTGTATGGTCTGGTCCTTGAAGCTGTTTGTTTGCCTGTAGATTTGTGTACACTGTTGAGTCCTTTCCGATTCAGTGCCATAAAGCAAATTACTCTTCTGCTGTTTTGGATGTGGTCCATCGGGTTAAACTAAGTCCAGTTGCAGTTTCTTTTTGGGTTCTAAGAATACTGAGAAAAATTCTACAGATTCCACAGAATGATCTTTAACCTGCTTCATGGAAGACTTACAAAGCCACCAGTTGTTTTTTCAGTCTGAAAGCAGGTGAACCAGAAGCAACACCAAATAAGGCCCAGACAGGAAAACCAGATCTGGATGAGATCAATCAGGATAATCACCGGATTTAAGGCTCTTTTTTCTAAAACCCTGGATCTAGTGTGAGTGGATATTACTTTAGTAATTTTTGTTCATGTGGATTGTATGACTCAAAATGGAGAAACTGCCATCCACGTACTCCTAATGTAAATTTCTAATTTCACAGATAAAATTAACACTTTGAAATGAATGCCTTTTTAGACTGGTGTGCAGACACACTACACAGACTTACACACGCATACTAAAGCTCTCACCCACAACCACTTTGTTTGACTGATTCTGACATGTCTGAATGTCTTTTGTGATCTGCTGTTTCTTCATCCTGCCTCTTTTCATCCTGCATGTCCTCTCTCACTTCCTCACACACACATTTACACATATTTTCTCTTTCTGTCACCTTCTCTTCCACAGTGCTTGGTTAATCTCCTTGGACGTGCCATTAACAAACCTTTTCATTAAGATCCTGTTCCCATTATTCACTGCAATTAAAGCTATTTAACTGTGGTGCAGAACTTGTATATACTCTCTCTCTTCCCCTCTATCTTGCTTTCTCTTTGTTCTTCACACTCACAGAATCACAGAAACCTACTGTAGTTTAAAAATTGAGAATTTTGCTTTAATGAATCTGTGTGTGTAGTTTGTAGTGTGTATTTGTACGTATTAATGCATTCTGCAAAATGACAGGCATTTCAAAATCAGCTTTCCTTTGAATTTTAGTGTACTTTTACGCACACGCAGAGGTGGTATGGATTAATGGCTTGCTAAACGAGCTGACAGCGTGGACTTGAAGACTCGTCTTCATAAGCTGCTTTCGCAGGAGTGAAGGGGGAAGGAAATGCAGGATGGAGGAAAATAAGAGAGAAAGAGAGAGAGAAATGGGAACAGGAGAAAATGGCAGAACAGAGTAAGATTTTATTTATTACAGAAGTTTCATAATAAATTTGTATAACATTTTGTACCTAATTTTAATAACTAGTAATTATTTATCACAATGATAAAGAACCACTCATGCAACATGTCCGTATACATGTATACCGTCGGCATCATATTATGAACAGAGGGCCACTGACCAAACGGCAATAGTTGACGACTTGGGAGTAAAACTGCTGACTTGATTGTAGCAGTATTTTTCAAACTGCTCTGCCAACAGTCATGAAAATAAATCTACATTTAAGTCGGGGAAAATAACAGAGAAACAATGGATTCAACATAGAAAGAAAAAGCAATAGAGAAAAGAGACATGTAAACAAAGTTGTTTGCAAAATGAAGGATTTGGACCAGAGCCTTTCTTGCTTACTGTGAAGTGTCTTTCTACTGTTTTTTTCTGTTCTGTTTTTTCATTCACTGTTCAGAGCCTTGGAGAACAGCATCACAACAATGATGGTACATTGTTCCACTTGCACTTGTATTTTCTCCTTTCAAATCCCTCCTGCCTGATTACAAGGGCCCCAATTACTCTTTTCAAGCCTCCTCTTAAACAGCGAGAAACAAACAAGTAACACTGCTTGCTCACCTCAAATCCCCATTCACTCATTGGCTGTAATGGTAATCCAGGTTTTGGGTTTGAAAAATGAAAAGCGATAAGTGACATGAAACAATGACTGTAACTGAGCAGCTAGAGAGCATGAGAGTGTTCAAAACCAATCTATGTTTTTGTGGGAAATATTCTGTAAACATGAGTCACAATATAATGATGACGTCATATAAATCCTGTGTAATCACTGTCACAAAGATACTGTATCAACAGCGGCATCATTTTGTGGTTTCAGAAAAAGAAAATCTTTATAATTCAATTCCCTATTCAAACTGTTTATAGAATTGAGATTTTATGAATGCCATGTTTCTCACTTATATTTATTTATTTGCTCTGCTATTTATTTTTTGGGATAGGCGGGATCCTTGTGGCATACTAAGTAAAGGATCCCTATATTATCAAATAATGCATTAAAAATACAGTGTATTTGTTATTGATGACGTTGTTTACCTTTTGGACGGTGAATGTCCTTATGACGTATTCAGCAAGTGGTTCAGTTTCTATCAGGGTCACCTTGATGTCTCCATAAACCTCTGTCTCATCCGGCCAGTAACGCACACACTTCACCTGGAAGAGACAATTTACATTCAAACTGTGAAGTTAAATTTGTATTACATGCCGGTCATTATCACCTAATGAGCATTAACAGAGTGGGATGAAGCCGAGGTCAAGATGATCACCATGAATAATATAATAGATGAATACTATCAAGATTTGTATTGCTTCTTCCCCTCAGCAGACATTAATTATTTGACATTTGAAAGATTTTGATTTGAAATTACCGGATTCTCATGTAACTGGACAAAACATATTGATACAGATGTGTGGAATCACCAGACTTTTGTTCCATTTATGTTGCAGTTTCTTGTTTGGTTTATGGCCCCTGCCACCTACAACCTTGGATTGTTGTAAAAATGTAGTTACAGTTTCATTATTGTTCAGTCTGTTGTTGTTTTGGATGGTAACAACTGAAACATCAGTCTGCTCAGCCTGCCGTTGAGACTGTTTAAAAAACTTTAAAAAAATCTATATTTATGTTCAGTAGCAAAGCAGAATGACGGTCTTACATGAGCACATAATCTCCCAAGGAATTAGGTTGTATTGGATAAGTGGGAGTACAAAAATGTTTCATTAAACTAAAGTTTGCATCACCTCCCGTCAGGGCTGTTTTTTCCAGTGGCTTTCTCCAACAAGCTAATTTCTTAAACATAGTGTAAAACGCAAACTTGTTTTCCATAAGGTGTAGGTGATTAGAGAATTCTCAGCCAGATTCTTCCAAGAGAACGGCCATTTCTTGGCCATGTATACTGGAAACTGGGTTTCTAATCAGCTTTTTACAAGTACATAGGACCGACACAGCATGATCTATCACTAATACAGTTTTAAAAGTGAGCCACGATGCGAGAAGAGGCTGGGATTGGGGAAAAACCCTGATTACTGGCCTGTTGTGTGTGTATATATACACAGATTACCAAAAAACAGGTTTCATATTTAGATACAAGAACTTGTAGAGCAGGTTAATGTTTTGCTCTTTCCATAATACTCTTCCATGTTTCTGACCCAGTATAAGTTTAAGTCAATGTTATGTTATATCTGGCATAATTCTATTTTTGATTCATCTGATTGGCCGTGATTGGACTGTAAATGTAATTAAGATTCTTCAAAATACGTTAGAAAATTCTGTTATCTCGTACCCCTACAGGTATTAGACCTCTTCATCAAACACACATACACACAATTTTTGTAATCTCTTGGATGATGAACTCACCCTGCCCACCTCCACCAAATTGGTAACCATGACGATAGAGGCCGAGTTTTCCTGCCAGACCATCCTCCAGAAATCCCTCACTGTCTCCTGCATGGGCCCTGAAACACACACACACACACACACACACACACACACACAAACACAAATTAGAGATATATAAATACTGATATACTGATACACACATGCACACACTGACTCGACGTCATGTAAAAATACGTCAGCACTCATAGCACAGACTTACACAAACACACGCATAAAACATACACACACGGACAGGGAAATACACATGCGTGCACACACACATGCACTCACACACTATCAATCCCAGATAGTGGTTCGGGGGTTTGAGGTAATGGGGTCTTAAATTTGTCAGGGGGATTTTATACGGCGGTTTAGATTTAGGAGGTTGTGGTAATAGCCTCCCAGCCCGAAAGGACGACATTTACCAGGTGGCTCCTACACACACACACACGCACACACACACACACACACACACACACACACACACACACACACACACACACACACACACTTGCATAGATGCTCACATACACATTGTATCTGCACAAATGTAGAATCACACATACAGTCTTCTCACACACAGCCATCACGTCAGTTTAATTACCTTGTGTGGCGATGTAATGTCTGGGTCTATGGTACCCCTGTGAGACAGAAAAAAAGTGAAGCATGAAAAAAGACCTCTCCATACTTTCGTCATCTCCATCTTTTTTCCCCCATATTCTGATTTTTTTCCTCCACAGTCCTTATTTTCTCTATTTTTAGTATATTACTTTTTCTGTTTCAATTTTATTTTTCTCCTTTTTTCTTTATTTCTCCCCTTCACCTCCTCTTTCTGTATTTATTTTTTCTCTCTATCCTTCCTTTCACCTTTTTGCAGGCTATCTATTCTTCTGCATCTTCCCATATGGGTAAAATATTAAAATTGCAATTATAAATCAACAGATGAACCAATTGTAACACCTCCTGCCCTCCCTCCCTATCCTCTGTACACCTCTCCTTCCACATATCCTTTTCACTTTATCATTACATGCCCTTTTTACTTTCCATGGACTGTCCCTCCATCACTTTGTCTCATTTTCTTCACTTCTAGCTTTGTACCATAGAACTTTTTTCATTTCTACTGTATCTGTTTCTCCAACTTTTCATCCGTCTTCCACCATTTCTTCTCCCAATTCTTTCACTTTTGAAATCCCTCCCCTTTTCTCCTGCTGAGGTGATTACTTACTTTCTCCTTTTTACTTTGCTCCTCCTTCCTCAGTCCTTTTGTTCTTACTCTGCCTTTCAATACATTTCTGCTTCTCTTTCGGTCCACCTTCCTTCCTCTTTTCTTGCATCCTCCCATTCTATCTTGCTTTTTCTCATTACTCCTGCCCCCCTATCCATCTGCCAGTTTATCTGCTTCTACTTCCTCTCTTCAGTTCCCCCTCCCACCCTTTTTTTCTCCTTTAATTTGTCCCCTCTCTCTCTCTCTCCATTCCCTCCACTCCCCCCAGAAACATAACTCAAGGTCGTTTTCCAAATAAACATCAAATTAAATAATAGAGGGGATCTTAATTTTCCCTCCACGGGAGAGATGGAAAGCGACGATTCTCAATCCAATGATTATCCCCCCTCTTGGCCCTACACACCCTCCTCACCCCCAACATCTCCCTATGAAACAGATAACCTTGCTAAGATAAAATCATTTATCACTTTTGTATTGTCATTAAGACCACGTTATAAATATGCCGTTGTCTTCACTGAGGGAATGTATTTTTTCGGTTTCAATTTTCCAATTCTCCCCATTTTTTCTCTTCTTAAATTGTGTCTGTGGAGACACTATGGAGTTTGATTGAAGATAGGCGTTATGTACCAAATTCATTAAGGCTGTTATTAAAACAGTCAACTGTGAGCAAGAGATTACATCGACAAGCGAAGCACAACGCCCAGAGGGCAGAGAGGAAGGGAGGAGAACACAAATAGATGGATGGGTAAGGAAAAGGGGACCAAGAGGAAAACAGTGGGAAGGTGAGGGACATGAAATTGCAGGAGGGATGAGTACATTTTTTATTTTTATTTTTTTTACACAAATGGGACTCAGATGGCTCCATTTGCTGTGGCAACCTTGTATAATACTCTGTGTGCATGTGTGTGTGCTCAGGGATTTGTGAATTGACATTTTACTTTGGAAAGTATGTGTTGTACGGGACAAGTGTTTTGCCGCTGCTTTGTACAATTTTAGAGCAATCTGTGTGTGTGAGTACATAAACATCATAGATACTGGCTATGTCCCTGTTTGATTACATATTTACAAGATTAACCCCGGAAGACTATATATATAGGTAGGTTACATTACAACAAAGCAGCATTGGTTAATGGTTGTGATTAAATACCTTGCTCAAAGGCACTTGGACAGACAGAATTATGGACACAAATGATCTATTGAGGGGATCGAATCTGCAGCTTTGAGTATGTTCCTGACTCCAATAGTTATAATTTTACTTACTACATGTCAGTATGTGTGTGAATGTATTCCCATGTTGGTTAGGCCCAATTTGAGCTTTAGACCTCTAAAGAGAGGACAGTTTGTGGTTCTCACCTCTCCAAAAGGGCTGTTGCAGGTTTCAGACTTAGTTTTAGTGTTAAGGTTAATGTTAGAATTAGATTGAGGTAAGTTGTGATGGTTAAGCTAAGGGGCTATGGAACAACGGTTCTTACTCTCCAGTCTACCACAAGCATTAAAGTACAAATCAGTGTGTGTCTCTGTGTGTAAACACTCACGTCGATATAATTGGCGTTGATGTAGTCAGAGTGGGGATCTCCGTCCAGCAGTTGCAGTCGGACTCTGGTGTGATCGTCTGTGGGGTCAGATAGCACAAAAATACAACAGGCCTAAAGTTACATTTACCCACAGATCGGAGCAGCTAACTGACTGGATGGGGAACTTACTAACTAACCGGGACTGTCTGAACCAGAAATAAGACAGTGCTGGTTGTTTGTTAGAATTCTTGAAATGACCCATGTTTACATTTACTTACCAATCAACCTGTAGTCATCTAAATTATGACCGTCCTCTTTCAGTAGCAATGAAAAGTCTTGGTTGAGCATATATAGCATGTCACTTTGACACTGTGGATGAACTCGTGTCTCCTATGGGAATCTTTACCTAATCTTAACCAAGTGGATTTAGTCATCTAAACTTAACCAAACCATAACAATGGAAAAGCTATATCACAAATAGACAATAAAGCTGTGCGACAATTCACTAATCCTACAATCATAACTTCTGACTGACTGACTATATGCAAAAAAAACTAACAAAGCAAACATTCTTGGCTTGGATCTGTATACTTTTATTCAGCCGCTTCATTTTGTATATTTCTTTCATTTCAGTTGATTTGGCCTCGAACGGGGAAGATAGATACAAAATCATAAATGTATAAACATTTTGTACAGGACTCCCCAACAGAGATTTCAGGCAAATATTACTTGGATTGAGTTAAATGTTTCCATTATAAACTGCCTCTAGCTGGCAGTAATTAACTGGTGTTTGCTAATAATCCATAACCAATAACTTCTTTAACTATATTTTCATTCTAGCTAGTGTTGAATACTATGCCTCATCTTACTGGTGATTGGTTTGCTCACAGGAGGAGGCTTTCTAAACCTACAACAGGGCCTTCCACTTTACCTTGATGCCATTCACTCCTTACACTCTGTTAACGTCTGCAAGTCACTGGCAATTTGCAAAAATCAGAACAATGTCAAAATGGTTTAAAACCGCACATTTTGCCTTATTGTTTTAAATGGAAAGAACACACTTTTGTTTGAGGCTTGCTGGGTGTTTAAAGCACTCACAGTGCTAAGGGCTAGAGGTGAAAAAAAAATTATATTTAATTTTTTAGTTAAAAAGCACACAACTTTAAACAGATTTCTAATAGTCCCTTTGAAACAAACCCACCACAACCTCCACTGCCCACAACCATTTGTTAGATAAAAATAAAGTATTGTTGAGAGAAAGTAAAGCCAAAAAAGAAACCAACTGAGAGATAAGTGCTTAAAGGAGTGAAATTGAACAGTTTTAGATTCAAAAATCACAGGCCTTTTTAGATATCACACATTGATTCCTTTTAGCTGCCTTTCAGCAACTGGAAAAACTAATGTACTAATGTAATGTGTAGTTTCATTTACTAATGGTGATCACTGAAAGGATTTGATGAAAGTGACTCAATCGTGTTTTTACGTTTGTTCTTTTAAAAAGATGGTTTCTAAATTGTTCACCTTGCCAGTGATTTTATTTTACGGTTGCATCCAACAGAGGTTTGTGAACAGATGAAGTTAGTGCAAGCATGACTGGACAGATAGAGTGCTAACTACAGAAACTCAAAATGCACCAACAGAAAAAGGCAAGTTAGATGACTGAAGTGGTGCAGAAACACCAGAGCGATGACCACATTAAAATGTAACTTAAGTCTACCACAATGATAGTAATAAATCAACATTCTTTCATATATTCTTTAAAACAATGCATAAGAAATACTCTATATTCCCGGTTCAAATATTAGATGATGAGCCATTCACATCAGCACAACCATGACTCAGTGGTGTGAGCCAGCACAGCAGTACATGTAACCAAAACGAAATCTTTTTCCTTTTCCCCCTTCTTATTTGAATGTCAATTATTTTGTTCTTTGCTCTAATAGCCATCCATAGTATTAGGACACATATGGGGCATTATGGCAAATAGCAGGCAGTGATTTCGTTCAGTCGTAGCGTGGCAACGGCAGGTAATTGCAGATGAAGCGGACATGATTTAGTCTGATTATCTCTATTTTTCTCTCTCACTCTCATCTTTTTTTCTTTCTTGTGTTAATATGCTCCAATTCACCCCTCTTATTTTCATTCTCTGAGACATATGACCACATTAGAATAATAGCGCTGCTACAAATGAGAAACAATTCTCTGATTCTTTAATGTTCTTATTTTAAAAAAAAAACAAAAAAAACAAAACAAAAGAAGATAATGATGTCAACAGGAGATGGGAGGTGGGTGAATGGGAGATGATATTAAGAAAAGACAAGAGTAGAAGAGAAGTAAAATAAAAAACAAGAGGTGGAGCAGAAATTGGCATAAGGTGGGATGAGACAGAATGAGAACAGGAGCTGGGAGAAAAGAGCTGGGAGAAAAGGGGGAAGAAAAGAAAAAAAACTGGCGACAGAGGGGGGGAATAAAAAAGGGATCACCTCTGTGTTTCTTTGAAGCTATTGAAATGCTAATAGATATGACTTTACTGATTGATGCGAAGCTACAGTGGGGTAGAGAGCTTAAAGCAAGCGCACAGCAAGCTGGTTACGGTTAGCCTGAAAGCTAGGCTGTTAGCTCCAGGGAAGACTTCTGAACTGTGACAGAACAACAGTTTTGCTCCCACACTTCAGGTTTCTGCTTTTGAAGAATTTTACCTCCTGGAATTTGCAAGTTGGTATTTCAAGAGCTAATTGTACCCTGAAAAGCTGTTTATATGCAACAATGCAAGTACCAGGCTTCACATTTACAATATAGCTGAGAAAAAATAATTTTCTACAGGCAAATAATTTTTTTTTTAACACAATTTAAATCAAAGCTCAAATTCATCTGTCTCAAAAAGTAATTCTGCCTCAAAAACAGAGCTTTTATGTGAGCAGATCTACTGTGTGGTCGATGACTCATGCTGTCAATTGTAACCCATTTCCTCTATGTTTATAGTGGGGGCTTGGGAGCAATCATTTTGTCAAGTAGGCGTTAACGTTTTTTGTTTTCGGTGAATATCTTAGAATAGCTGTGTGAATTTTCTATTCATGGTTGGCACAAAATGAGACTTCCTGTGGAGTAAAAATCATCAGAAGAAGCAGACAATTGCAGAGAAGCTTACTTTGAACCCTTATTTAAACAAACAAGATCCTTTAGAACACAAGATGTGTTTGAAACATCTGGAAAAAGGTCAAAGTAGACCTAGTATTAGGATGATACTGTCATTGTAAATCTATTTCCAAGGTCAATAATTAACTCTTTAATAAAATTAAACCATCTCCATGACAAATATATTGATTAATGAAGAGATGAGGATTTAAACTGTGCAGAAAAGCTAGCAAGTGGACCTTGTGTTTAGACATTTTTGCTTTTTTTGGATACAGTTTAGAAGCAGATTTGATCTCATATACACTAACAAAGCTTTTGGGGGTGAAAGCAGTGCAGTTTAATGTATTCATCACATGAATGCTTAACCCTGTGAATATCATGTTTTCAATCGAGAACAAAAAAAAAACTCTGTTAATGGGGGTCCATTAGCAGAGTATATTTACCAGCTCTCTGTCTCTCACAAATCACAGTATTTTCCATATGTTGACTTAACATAGGAACATTTCCTTATGCCAGGGTTGGTATGGTGTCATCGTGTAAGACAACCCTTCACATTCACCCAAGATGCAGAATCGATTGAGCAAGTACTGGGTTGAACTAGTATCCGGTATGGGTAAAGTACATTAGAGTATCATCAGCGTAGAATGTGTCAATATCCATACTCGTAAACTTTATAAAAAACTAAAAAACACTGCTCTGAAGCTCAATTCTGAGGCCGTTCTGTGAATATCTTTCTAATATAGCAACTTCTGATCAACCCATATCAATTTCAGGCTTAAAGGGTTAGTGCCGCCCACTTAATGATAGATATACTCACTCAGCCTTAGTGTAAATATCTATGATGTTCTGTGTGACGCTTCAGTTCCCTGCTGATGCCGAAGTCTCGGGTCCCTCCTTTCCTATTACTGAGCCATGAAAAACTGATAGGTCAGGATTGTGCTGGGGTGAACCTGTAGTCTGATGTGTCTCTCAACCAAATCTCAACACGAATTTCAGGCACCATGACTACCTAATGTGACATAATGAACATCTCAAAATATGTAGAGTCTGATTCCAAGCTTCTTCAAGATTCAAGTGTCTTCCCTCTAGGGCAACCCTGAAGCAATAGGCACCCTGGTATTCACAGATGCCTGAGATATGCCTACTTCAATTCCTTTCCCATGAAGTACCCCATAAAAGTATGAAAAGTATGAGACACAATCCTGCAAAAATGGTGGTGTAGTAAATCACATACTGGCCCGTCCACCAGGCCCATCTCGACACCCTCACTTATATGAACATGCATCTCTGGCACTGAATAATATCACTGAACATAAATCGTTAATATGGCTGCATATAATACAGAGTCTTGCAACAAATCCCCTCCTTGATTATCATTTCTAGGATCACCTTGAGGAGAATTATTTGTACAGCTTCTATCAGAGTAATTTTCTAGCTCTGGCTGAGCGGCAACAATGATGGCAGCATGACTCCACTCTGCCGGTACAAGATACTGTCATCAGCTATCAGCTCACCCACACTCTTACTCACAACTCTCACACACACAAACCATCTCTCTCTCTCTCTCCCACACACACATTCCCTGCACATAAAACAAAGACAACAGGGGGTAGTCTGCCAGCCTTCTGCTCTTTGTCTCCCTCTCTCTTTCCTCTTCTGATTTCTACCACTTCTTCTCCTCTTCTTTCTCCATCTCATCTGCCTCTTCATCCGCGTCTTTTCTTCCTCCTTGTCTGATTCCGTCCACCGTCTCCGCCTGGCCTCTCCTTCTCCTCACTTCTCTCCCTCCCTCTTATTCCTTAATTTACCTTTTTTGCCTGCTCTCCCTCTCTCTTGCCCCATACTGTCTCGCTCCTTCAGACAGCAGTAATTACACAGGGCTAGTGTCAGGCTGTCATAACACGAGAGCCACGGATATGAAGCTGGAGGGAGGGAGGGGCCCTTTCCACGTCTCTCTGCTCAGGGAGGGGAG